AGTTAATAAATTTATTGAGACACTGAAAATTTCAGTTATCATCAATTTGCATAGATTAATGATGATGGGATTAACATTACCTTATATTATAAAGTTCAATTTGTTAATGCATGTTAAACTGTTGACAGTAATAATAATAATATGAAATCAAATATAATGCAATGAAATTAACGCAACAACAAAATTTGTCTATTAAAATTCTCTCAATCAAAATCATTCAATTAAATTCAGTATTTCCTATTTTGTTATCTTTTTTGATTGAATTTAATTTTTCGTTTAAAGCAAATATCAATCAATCAATCAATCAATCAATCAATCGTTGTACATTCAATAATGAAAAATTACAATAAATAATAATAATATTCTTTGCAATGAATTTTATTTTATTATTACTACTAAGAGTATTGTTTTTATAACAATTTATAGCATTCCATTTTAATAATTAAATTTCAAAATTTCTTTTTTTGATATTTTCATCATTAAGAAGAAAAAGAAAAAGAAAAAGAAAAGAATGAAAAGATTGAAGATGAAAGTGAAAAGGAAACGAAAAAGAAATCAATTTTTATGAATTCTCCTTTTTCACTATCTTTCTCATTCTAATCAAACTGAATTCATTTTAAACCCTTTTAACTAAAATATTTTACATTCCAATAATTACATTATAAACATTTCTTATCCGAAAAAAACGAAAATTGCTAATTGAACTTCAGCGAAACTTATTTATTACCAACCATAAAGCATTTTTATTAACTATTCTTATAGAAGTAAAATTTTAATAAACATTTCATATAGAGCATTTATCTTTTCCAAAAACGAAACTGAAATCTTTATTTTCGTTTAATGAGTGCCCAGAAGAAGAAGAAGAAGAAGAAAAGTGGAAGCAATCATATCATAGGTTAATGGGTTCATTATCATTGTATTATAGGTCAATGGAACCGTTATTATCAATAAATGACGATGAAAATGACTTAGAATCAGTCCCACTACCAATACAAACATTTTTATGGCGACAAACAAAGTATCACTTATTGTTTTTATACACTAACTTAATTTTAAATTTTATCACTATATCACTTGAATTTTATTACTTTGATTTTAAATGAACTTGCAAAAATTAAAAATATTTCGAATATGAAATTAAATAAAATTTATAGCTGAAAAAAAGAAGGATATATATGTATATTTGCATATATGAAAGATTTTATGATTGAAACTTTGAATAGCACAAAAATATACGAACCGATCGATCGATCTTTTCTTGCAAAATCATAAAAATAATATATTACAAAATTAAATTTAGTTTAACATTTTTTACATTTTTTTGCAAAATCATCGAAATTTCAGTCCATTTTTGGGTGAAAAAATTGGCAAACTTCATGAAGCGTCATGTGTGGTAAGTGTTTTTCAATAGTTGCAGAATCGTTGCAGAATCGTTGTAGACTCGTTGCAGAATCGTTGGAAAAGTTGTTGTGATTGTTGTTGTGACATTTATCCCTTGCACAGGAAACTTCTAATTGAAATGAAGAAAAAAAATCTCATTAATTCGGATATAAAAGATTGGAAATCTTAAAATATATAATGCAATAGACTGAAATTAAAAGAGAATGCACGCAGAAGAAATCTTTTGCAAACGTTTTATATGCATTAAAATGTGGCTTTAATTTTCTAAAGATTATTTATGAATTAAGTTAAAATAAATTAATAGTCATCGTTAATTGATAAGTCTCAATTAAATAAAACAAAACAATTAACTATCTCTCTATGTTAAAAAAGTGACAAGCTATCAGTTTGATAAAACATATATTAAGATTAGCAAGTTAATCAATTTGCAGACGTTTGAACGGGTTGTTGTACAAAATATACTTCATGGACTTAGTCCATCACTTTCTGATGCTATTAATTCCGTTTCACGTTGGCGTTTCGTACGTGCAACATTTCCACATATTGTACAAGTAAGTACAAAACATTTCGGAAATTCCATTCTGGATTAGTTAAAATAGGCATAGCAATATAATGAATTAATATAATTAAGCGCTAAAAATAACGATTGCATATCAAAGCATAATAATTTAAGTATATAATACATTTCTTCAATGCATCAATGTTGAAGAAGACATTTTATCAAGTTTCATTATTTGAAAATTTTCAAAATTTAGTGCTGTGCATCGTTATTATCCGAAGCTGTTGGTCGAGATGATACACCGATGAGTGGATCGTTAGTAAAAATGTTGTATATATTGCATTGGCTTCTCCTCGACTCAGCCAATGAATGTTATGATGTTGAAAATAGTAGAAAGGTATGACTGTTTGTTCATCTTTCATCCGAATTTCTTAATTTTAAAAATTTAATATTCAGAATTTCAAATGATTGACATTATTGACATTAAATCATAAAATAAATAAACCTACACTATCTTATTTACGTTTTGTTGGGAATTTGAATAGAAATAAGTATATCACTGATTTATTAATACAAAATATGGCTAAATGTGATATTCCTTTCTTTTTTGGTTAATTAAATTTTCCTAATCTAAAAATAATTAGATTAAAAATAGCAAAGTAATATTTTTCGATCGAACATCAAAATTATCAGTCATGAAGATATTAAATTAAAAATAAGTTATGGTTAAAAATTTTTAGGCATGACGAAATTTATCCTTGCTTTCTAATAGGAATAGATAATTGTCGCTGTTACTGTTTGACTGTTAAATAATCGAATAAATTAAATTAGCAGACAAATGATATCCAATTAGATAAATAATTCCATCATAATATTCTTTTGATTAATTGACTGGCAGCTGTCACAAGTAAAGTAACTTCTTCCGAAATAAAGTACTTTGAATAAATAAATAAATGATGCTTCATAGCTTACAAGACAGAGCAGATGTTTTAAATTCAACTATGTTCTCTAGTATTTTTGCCATAATGATTTTGTCAATCTTTCAATTTATCACTTTAATTAAAATAACTTTAGATAAAGTAAAAGTTATTAGTAAATTTGATGCAATGATTCGATGATTATATCATCTCTGCTCATTGAATCATCATATAAATTATGACAAAATGCAGAAAAATATAATGAAAATGTTAATGATTGAGTGCTGTAAAGAAGCAAAAAGAAGTTTTGTTTTCAACCATTCAGTTCTTTTCTGATTTTTAATGATTTTAGTATTTTACCTGTAAAATTCCTGAAGAAATCATTTCTCTTCCCAATTATCATCCATTCTTACATTATAATTATCTCTTAATGAATGAATATGCCATTGTTTGTGAAAGTTTCTTTACTGTTAAAAAAAGAAGTCTAAAAGATAATTTGCATAAAATTGATAACTTTATTCTATCATAGTTATGAAGCAAATTTTAGCATGAAATAAGCAAAAAAAAAAGGAAAGGGAATAATTTTACACTTAAGCTTAAGAAGCATTTTCTCACCATAAATAAATCTGTTGTTTACAAATAGCACCTTAAACAATAACACTTATTCAATCACCTCATCTTTTATTCATGCAACGATGAAATGTTTATAGTTTGAACTACCGAATTAAAAAGTAATGTGATTTTTGCATTTGCTAGGTAAATATAAATGATAATGTTTACATCGGAAATTATGCACAAATTACGGTGAAAACTAATTAGTAAGCAAAAGTATTTTGTGGGAAGATATGGATTTGATGGCAAGAATGTTCACTTCAACTTCGTATTGAAATTTGGTTTATATTAATAGAGAATAGCTTTGGATTAATTAATTAATTACTTCATTAACTATGCATGAAATAAGCTATGAAAATGAAATGAAATATAAATATTTCGCAATAGAGAGAACTGGGACTAATTTTTTTGAATTTATAATAAGTATGAAAATGCTTAAAGCTATACTTGAACAAATATATTGATTACGCTGATTCCATCCTATCACACAAAACAAACAAAATTAATCTAACTTTATTGAATGAAGAGTATTGTTATCAGTGTTATCTTCAACAACCAGTAAATCTTGACGACAGCTATGAAATGGAACTAACAAAAACTGTCTCAAATGGCAAATCTTAAAATTGCCTTTAGAGCATTGAACTGCATTACGATAAACTTATTAAAGTGCATAAAAGATGTTAACCAACTTAATAAATTTCTAGTAAGCATATTTCATGCTTACTGATATCATATATATATATATATATCATATATATATATTTTGCAGCAACTTCCAACTTCTAATGTGTCAAAATTTCGGCAGTGACAGATAAACATATCATCTTTTCTTCTTACCATAAATATCATAAAATTTCAAGCGAATATTATTCAATTTACTACATTCTTAACAAATTAATTTGCTCCGAAATTCTTTAAAACAATAACGTATTATTATTATTGCAAACTATTACTTTTAAATGCATTTTTAAAACAATGAAACATTCTGTTTTTTGCTATTTAAGTTCTAAAATTAATCTAATTTTAGAATTTAACCGAGTCAACCGATTTTCCTGTACATGCCATACGACAATATGCATTTTCGATTAGCAGTATACAATTATTCGTGTATATGATTACTCCATTATTGAATGTGATCAATGAAAAAGATTTGACATCAAATTTTCGCCTAGAAAGTGGTTTAAAAATTTGGCAATCACTTTGGCAGGTAAAAATCATCTTACTTTTTTTCATTTGAAATATTTTACAATTTCTTTTTTGTTTCTTATCATGATAAGAAATAATGACAGGCTTTTTCGGATCAGATTGGACAATTATTTTTATTAATTTGTCGTCTAAGTTGAACAAACCAACTTATTATAATGTTACAGTATCGGCAACCGGAAGTGTTATGTTTCTGTGCTCCGGTAAAACAGCGCCGTACACAGTTTCCATTTATAACAATTACCAAGAAGACAGAACCAACCTCTGTAGTTCAAGGAATATATCTTGGTATTGATTAACTCACACAGTAAAGCTATAATTTAATATAGCAAATTATAATTTATTTAGCAATAATAAAAACTCTAATTATAAATAGTAGTAATTAGTTTACTACTATAGCAAATGATACTTTCTGGTTTAATAATTTCAATTAACTGATAAAATTTGAAAAGAAATTTCATTTGTTGTCGGTATTCAAATTCGTGTTTATGTGGGTGTTGTGCGATTTGAAAATATGTTGTTGTAAATCATAGAAACTGATACTTCTAGCACTTATTCTCCTAAAGCCAAACAAAAAAATCGTTGATTAATATAACTGTTTGATAAAATTATAAAATGAATTTCAGGCGATGCAAAGGAAACAATGACACGACGCTTATCAAATGTTCCGACACAAATTGCCAATCTTCCGCCATACACTGATGTAGTACCACCCAAACCATCTCGTCCCTATTTAACAGTTTTCGCAAGCTTGAAAAAGAAAAAAGAAGATGAAGCTAAAGTTGATACAGCTCAAACAATCACTATCTCAGATACTAATCGGCAACAACAACAACAACAACAGCATATATTATCGGTGAAAAAGATAATTCTGTTGTTCAAATAAATTTATCCATTGCTATGTTTATAAAATAAGAAAATAAGTAACTGAATAACGAATCTTTCATATTTTTTTGAAATAATTTGAAAATTTTATGAAACTTTTCCAATCATTCTTTTATGTCTTCGATGTATTCAGCAGTCAACTAATTTGGAAATGGGTCGATCAAATTCAATTGTTCGAAGTGTTAGTGATTATCATACAAGTGATATTCCACAAACATTTACAAAAAGTCATACAACAATGATTGATGAAAAATCGTCAAGTTTGTTTTATAATTACATATACATTTCTCATAAGTAATATTATATTGAATTTTGCCATTAAATTATAAATTTTCAAAAATTTGAGATGACGTTTTGAATGTGAAAGATGAAATTATTGCAAATTTTACTCAGTATGCAGGAAAGTTTCATTGAACTTATCATTTTGATATTAAATAATTCTAAAGTTTTCCTGTTCCTATTTTCAGGTTTATGCAAAGATATGGCAAAACTTGATGATGCGCTCAGTTTTACGGATGATAAATCTCTTAATAACGCAATGGATGATGTGGAAGTATCTGAAGAAAAAGCGCCATTAGTAATATTACAAGAAATATGTTCTAGCACTTCAACTGATTTTGAAAATGTTCTACATAATAGTCGTGAGGTGTTTAACTTCTCAAACTTTTCAAACTTTCGAACTGAAATAAAGTGAAGAAGTTTATCTTCATAAAAAAGAGAGATCTCCGAATTTTTTTTGCAATAGCCCAACGCCATAAAGTTTATCCACGATCAATTATTTAGTAATTTTCTTAACTTTTCGCATAAAAAGCTTTTCATCCTAAATCACATAAATAATCTTTCACTTAAATATCTTAGAGATTCAATTTTCTTTTACCTGAAGAAGATAATTTATTACACTGTTAACGAGAATTTTGCAGAATTTCATTTTAGATAATTTGTGAAAGTTGTCATTCAGTAATGTGTCGCGATGGTGGAGCGATGAATGCTTGCAAGTGCAACCGTCATTCGGCCTCTTCACATCTCAAAATTATTCCTGCAATTTCCACAAGCTATTCCGATTTCGATATGACTTCGCCCGAATTCAAGCAAAATGTTGATAAATTAAAAAGGGGTTTCATTTTATTTCGCTGCATAGATTTGAGTTTTGCATGTTCATTCTAGAACTATTGAAAAGTATTTGCTCTATATTATAGAAGAAGCAAGTTCGACGACATTGGACGGTAGAACAGTCATCAAATCGGTACAAGAAAATACTTCAACTGAACCGGTGAAAGTGTTTGATCCATTAGAAAATATTACAGAAGAATGTGATACTATATTGCAACAGGTGAAATGGGAACTTTAATCATTTTCCTAAAGTGTAATAAAAAAAATTGAACGATTTTATTTTGAATAAAAATTATGAATGAAATTTGTTAATAAATTTATTTTTGAATATCAAAAGAAGAAGGAAAAAAATGAAAGAAGGAGAATGAAATGATTTATCATAATTATAAAATAAGTTTAGTCCATTGCAGTCATTTGTTGATCCACAAGAAGCAACGTACATGGACGTAGCTGTCATACGTTGTCTTTTAATTAAGCATTGGACTGAAGATGGCGTTTATTGGGCAATAAAATATTTGCTACATCGTTTATTCGAAATTAAAATGTATCGAAATTCACAAACTATCATATATCGTTCACGTGCTAATTCGGTGCCCAGTATTCCGCATTTGAAACTATTCTCTAGCAAAATGGTTCAAGTTGCTTCAATTCTTAATAGTTTATCTTAAATTTTATTTTAAATTACTCATTTCTTTTCTTATTTTTACTTAGAAAAGTCATACTTTTATAATTATTGATTGATAATTTTGGAAAATTTTAGGATTATCGAAAATTTTTGAAAGAAATTCAATGTCGTCCATCAACTTGGGATGATTTACAGTTAGGAGATGTTGTCAAAAAGTTGGGAAAAAGTAAAAGTGAAAGTAATAGGAGAAAAGAGAGAGTTTCATCTATTCGATATAGCAAAAAGTATGCTTCCTTTTGTTGTGTAAAAGTAATTAGTAAGATGATTCTTATTGTTTTCCTTCATCATTCAAGATGTTTCATCGTGATGCTACTACTATCATGACGCTCTTCAGATATTCATTGTTATAGATTAGAATGGAACATATTTAAAATGAATTAAACTTATAAAAATTAAACTTCGATTTGTAGACGCCGTAGTTTGTCTTCTGATTCATTGCTGCGACTGTCAGCATTATCAAGAGATAACAATACGATGACAACAGGAAGTTTCTTCAAAAATCGTAGCAATCGTGGACACATGGAACACAAAATGTAAGTGATCGTGTAACTTTGTGTTGCAGATATTCCAATTCATCTAATTTTAATTCTTTAAAAAATCGGAAAGCACAAACAGGATATTTTTAATCTTTTAATACAATATAAAATGAGAAGTAGAATAACTTTTCTAGCCTTTCTATCACATCGTCTGTTTACAGAAGTATTCCTTCAACAACCAATTCATCCGATGGAATTCCAACGCGTGATAAAAGAAGTAGTCTTATCACCGAATTTTCCAAACAAACTACTAATGAACTTAATACTCGACAATTCTTTCCTAAGGTTTATAAGTCTGTCAATTAAGTTCAAATTTCAAGGATCATGAGCAAAATTCACATTTCAGGAAGTTCATATTTTAAGAAATTTTAGAGGAAAATAATTTTAGATCTTTCAATTTGCAATTTAAAGCAATTTGTGCAAGAGACGCATAAATACACTAATGAAATTCATGTGATTTTTTAAATTTAAATAAAAGTCGAATAAGGATGCAATAAAATATAAACTCAGACATAATTTTATATTCTCCCATTATCTTTTATTAGAAATAATATTTAAATCATACAAATAGGATTTTTCTGGTTTTATTGAAAATTCTGAATTTCCCTTTCTTATCATATATTCCATTTGAGGCACTTGGAAGTACAAATTTCATTGAAGAAAACGGACATATCAGCTTTATCGTATTATTGAAAGCAATTTATTTTGCCATCGAACGGCGTTCCTCCGTTCGAATTTACGAATTGGCATTAAATATTTGTGAAAGTTTGCTGGAAATGCCTGAAAAGAAATTACAATCATTTTTCAGTGATTGTATCAATATAGTACTTAGGTATTTCAGCTTTTCTTTTACATACTTTTGATACAGTTGAATAGCAATTAAATTATCTTTTCCAGTATATTTTAATTAAGATGAATAATATTTATACTCTTTTTCCTTCTTACTAATTAATTAACCGATTATGGAAAAGCTTGGCTATGGTCTTTCTATTAGAAGAGAAATATACAATAATCGGATGCCTTGATTTCAGATCATAATTCCTGAAGATTAACTGCGCATATAAGATGCGACATTTGAATTGTTGTTTTGTCTTGTTAATATGTTTTGCAAAATTTTACAAGTAATTATCCGGAAATTTTCAGAACATATCTATGGTTAGGTTGTCCACATGGATGTAATGATAGCTTGCATTCACAGCAGGGTGATTTCCTGAGAGTTAAAGCACGCACCATTCTTGCAATCATTTTTCGCATTAATCCGGAAAATTTTCGCAGTTTATTGATTAGCCATATCGAAGAATATAATGTGCAAATATTGATTGATACATTGCATTCGATAACCGGTTTTTGTAAATGTGGCACGACCGGTTAGCATTTTTTTAGATGCTTCATCAAAAATTATTTAATATCTTGGCGTGATTAGTGTGGATATTTTATTTACTGAAGCAGTGAATACCACAAAGTCAAGTATAGATCTTATAGTTCTATATGCTTCCGGATTTCTTCTTGACTTGAATGACGCAAACCAGTAATGCTTCCTTATACTCATCATATAATATTCCTTATACTCATCATATAAATTCCTTATACTCATCATTCCTTATACTCATCATATATATTCCTTATACTCATTCCTTATACTCATATTCCTTATACTCATCATATAAAATCACTTCAACGTATAATTTCTTACATTCCTTATTTATTCAAAATTCTCATGGAAAAACTTTTGCGCCTATATATGTTTTCGAAATAGAATTTCGACTTTTAAAATTGTTGAGACCTTTCAAAATGAATAGCAACTTCATGTAAAAATATTTTCTTTCTGAAAAACATTCTATAAATAAATATCAGTTAGCGAGCATACACTTTGAGCATTTACTTGCAGTTGGAATTTATCGTACACGAAGCGGTTCATCACCACGTCGTCGAACTGCTGTATCAGATTCCTCCTTGCCTTCATATCAAAATAATTTTAACGAAAGTTCTAAAGGAATTCAAGGAACAATTATCAAAGTTATACTGAAGCCGGTAATATCAAAATTGATGAATGCAATGAATGAGCTTTTGCAACCGGAAAATATGGTTAGTTGTTGGTTGTTAAGCTTGCAACATGCATATTGCTGTTGCTGCCATAATATTTCAATTTTCGTTATTTTTTCTTTTTTGTTTTCATTTCACATTTTATTTTATCTAGGTTTGAAATTATAATTATTGCTATTTTTCCCTAACAATAAATATTGAAGTTATGAGATTACTGTAGAATCAGCACGAATTTATTCGATCTTCAATATGTTGAAATTTCTCGATTCGGTATTATCCTATCATTTTCTGGTAAATTGCAGAGTTTATATCAGGATGTATGGTTATTTGTGTCATTTATTCAAGCACAACATGGTAATTCATTTCGACATGTAGGCTTAAGTGCTTTATTAGATGGACGACCACCCGAAAATCAAAGTCAATTCCTTGATGCGTAAGTTGTAAACATTTGGTGTTAAAATTTTCTCAGAATAAAAATTAGATATTTAAGTATTATTAAAAAAGAAGAAATAAAAACAATTGATTCTTTTTTAGCAGTACGTCACAGCTATATTCTTCCCGTCGGACATCCTTATTGTGTCCACTCCCTGAAATCCTTCTATCTGAACGAAATGCAAAATTCGCAAGCAGTGATGACAACGAGTAACTATTAGTATAATATTATACGCACTTCTTTAGTGTCCTTTCTATACTTTTCTTACTCTTCTTCTAACATTGTCTAATAATTAATTGATTGATACCTAATTTCAAACTTCCATATCAATTTTAACTTTATTTTTGAATGTTTCTCGAATTTCAGTTTTTGATTCAATTAAAACTGATCAAATATAAATGAACTTAGAAAGTTCAGTTATCCATCTTTAGCTATATATACACATAGTTTATAAACAATTGTAATTTTTGCTTAGTGCTTTATGTCTGGTTATTCTAGTACATCCCAATATCACATATGAAATATTGTGATAGCATAAGGCATGTGTAGCCATGAACATCCTGAAAACCGTAAATTTTGTTCCTTTTTTATCTCATCAATGAATGATAACAATATCATTTTAATTTGGCTGGAAACTTCTCTATTTATTCATTTACTATTTTTTGCATAGTTTACTTCCCAATACCTTAATAAGGCATAGTTTACTTCCCAATTATTTCTATACAAACAAAATTTAAATAAAGTACTAAAATATGTTCATACGAAAAGCGATACTTAAACCAGGAAATTTTTAAACTTTTTTAAAAATTTTAAATTACTGAAAATATAGCAATAGCAATAGAAGGACATTAAAGAAGGATGGCATGTTTCTCAATGTTGTTTAGTTGATCACTTGCACAAACATACACACACATACACACATACACACATACACACACACACACATGTATATATATAATCATTAACATTCACGCAGACATAATTAAATTAATTAACAATTTCACAATGCTTGCATGTTTTATGTACTGAAAAGAAAATTATTCGTTACAGTAATAAATAACATTTTCCAATTTTTCTTTTTTGCTATTATATTTTTTTTTGTTTTATTTAATTAGAATGCATCATTTGATCGTATTATTTTAAAGTTTTTTGTGTGAAATTTTAGCCATTAAACTGATCGCTTTCTTATTGTTTTTATTTTTAAGAATAGTAATTAACAAAATTTATTATTTTGTTTATTTTGAAAATTAGCCAAAAATAATATATTAAATATGTTTGAGTGAAAATATTTTGGGATGCTTTTGACAGATTGCTTGCCCTAATTTTTTTGTCGAATGTTTCTCATTTTCTTTTTGCCCAATTAATGCACTCACTGCACATATTCCATATATTATTATCATTATTATTATCATTGCATATTTCATTTTAGGATTGAATTAAAATCGGATAATAGTGAAGATGAAAGTATCCGTTCGAGTACAAGCGGTACAACAACACAGATACATACACGTGAATCTGCTTCTTTGAGAAAAGGAATATTTAAAAAACGTGAAAAAGTATTAATTAATTTATTGCAAATTATATTCATTAATTAGGCATATAATAAATTTGTTTGTTATTTTTCATAAAGTAAAAAAATTAATTTTTCAATATTTTATTAGAAAAGAAAATACTAAATTAAAAAAAAAACATCAAAATTCCATTGTTTTTCGCTTCTTTTCAACTATGAAACAAAAAAGCATAAAAGAAGGAAAGAAATCATCACGTGTTTTTAACGTAAGGAATCTATGTTAACGCTTCATTTACACGTCATACGTGTACTATCATCGTAAGGATTGCATATAATCTTAGCCATCTTTGCTATTTACAATTAAGTTTGATACGATGCTGAATTTAGTGTCGTATGAAGAAAAAAAAAACGCTTTAGTGATGAAATTTACTAAATTTAAACTTACATTGAAAATATTTAAAAATATTACGTTCCTAAAATGACCAGCAATTTCTACTGATATATATTATCTTTATTACAGTTACAAATTTCAAATACCGATGACAGTGATTTGGATTCCTCACCTTCTACTCCAAGAAATGTACAAACAAGTGATGAAGTTACTATTGAAAGTTTATCAGCTTCACCGTTGCTACCGATGAACGTTGTAAAGAAACGAAGTGGTGGCAAACTTCATTTTGGTAAATGATAATTAAAAAATTATTCGCTACAAATTATACATTCATTTAAATATCGTTTTCTTTTTTTTTTTAAACTGAGATCTTTGGTTAAAAATCTGTAAAGGATGATTTCGATAACCTGATAACATAAACGTAACAGTAGCCACTCCAGAAACCGTTAAACCGGTTGAATGAGAGACAAACAATGAATGAGTATTTCATTTGAGGCAGAATGTTGTAAAAACTAATATTTTAAGTATTATTTACAAAGGATGTGTTTGAGCTAAGTTCTGCTACTATCAATAATTTATGATCGTAAATGGCAATAATTGTGATAATTTTTATAATCAATGCACGATCATAATTCATTTGGTTAATTACATTTTTTTAATAAATTTATCCGAATTTCTTAAATCAATTTAAATATGAAAAATAATACGAACCTTTTGTTCTCCAACTATTCGATATATTTATAATTAATCGTTATTAATATTATTGTTCATTAAGCACTGAGCTTATTAAAGTCAGTACGATCTGATAATAACGACGACATTGGTTCAGATATCGAAATAAATGACGATGATAAAAGTCAAGTAAGCGAAAGTTTTCAATTTTGTATAAGAATAAAACAAAATATTTTCCATTGAAATGTTTACTATGTTATAAATTATTAGTTGAAAAGTTTTAATTTAATTTTGATATTTATAATTTTTACATATAATTTAAATATATTCCTTTATTCAGAATATATACTGAATATTTTAGCAACCAAGACAATCCAATTAATTATTTAATTAAGCAATGCAATTTAATAGCTAATGGATAAGACTGACTGTTTTCCCGTAAATAAAATACATCCACATCCAGAATTATCATTTACGTTTACGTAATGTGATTCTCTCTTGCTGATTAATTATCAATATATTAGAAGGTAATTAATCGTGTGAAAAAATGAAGAAAAGAATTGCTGTATAACATTGCAATTCATTATCGCTGAGAAATATTGTAGCTTGTCAGTTTAAAATTGCTAAGAAAATAACGCTTAAAATTAACATATACCGAATTCTTAATTAAAATTTCAGGAAATTACTAATTAAAATTATTAAAGTTTAAAATATAATACTCACTTATGTGAAAGATAATTTTGCATCATTTTTCTTCATTCGGCATTTTTTTAAATTTTATATTTTTATTGTTTTGAATATATATACACATACTCAGAATGGGATTTTAACACATGAAGAACGTCGTTCGAAGGGTCCAATTGTACAGAAACCGCCTTCGTCTAAAATTCTCATAACACATCAAAAGTCTACTGATTCCATGGATGACAAGCAAGGTTTCAAATTTTTGTTCAATAATTTAATTTACAGTTTAAAATCAGGAATTCCGGATTTTCATTTAATGAATTACATGTGTAATTTCATATGATACATTTTCTAAATCCCAACTAAAAAAAATGTTTTATAACTTTTGAAACTACGAAGACGAATGCCTTTAATTCGCTATTCGAGAATTAAAGATTTCTTTGATTTCATCTATCTGAAGCTATCTGAGTTTCTTTGATTTCAGAACCATTACATCCAAGACGAACATCGCTATCAAATCTAAATCTTCCAACACGTAAATTTGTCAATTTGCGCGGTATTCAGGAAGGTGTACGACGTTTTTCATTTTTCCTTGAAACATGCCGTCCGGGAAGCTATCCGGATCCTCCGCTTCTAGCCGCATTGTTGGACTTGAAATCTCCTGTGCTTGCAAGAGCTTCACTTCTCCTTGAATGTGCTCGTTTTGTTCATCGATGTAATAAAGGTATGATGTTAATACGCAAATTTCAATGAGCTACTAATGTCTAGAGCAATTAAAACAACTAACCTTTCAAGTTTCAATTTAGGAGATTGGCCTGAATGGATTCGTTCAAATAGCGCGTGTCAATTAAGTGCCTTTGTTGTTGACAATACTTTTGGAAGCCGTGGTACACCAAGCGCAACACGTCGCATGCAACTGATGCAACGTGCCGCTGCTCGCTGTTTCTATGATTGGGGATGTCAGGTTTGATGAACTGATTTTGAAAATACACCACTTTTCAATATCTCAGTTAAAACAAGCCAAATGCTTATTTTAATTAGTCGTTTCATTGAAATTTAATGCAGAAACTTTTAAGTAGACTTTAATTTTAATTAACTCGTTAAATTGATGATATTTTTTAACCTTTACTGTTTGTCATTTCCAATTTTAATAATTTAGCTCGGTGAAAGAATTTATAAAATTATGGAAGCTAATGGAGCGTTGGACAATAAAGCTCCATTCAAAAAGACTGACTTAAATCGACAAGGACTTATCATACATGATAATTTAGAAGATTTTTTTGATGAAGGTTTCCATTTGCATAATTAAATTTAAAACAATTCTCTATTTTGAATTCCAACAGATAATTGAAAAATAATTGCTTGTGCATTTCATTGGGATTACTTTGGGGAAACATGTGAAAAATGGGAAATTTCAGGAATAGTAAATGATGAAAGTGGTGAATGTTGTCCACCAGCGATTTTATTTCTGGCATGTCTTCTACTTAATGAAATCACAACTTTCTTAAGAGAAACATTTCAGGTTGGAAACACTGGAAGTTTTTCTTACTGATCATATCAATGATTATAATTGAGGAAATATTAAAAATTCTTTTGCAATTAGCTTGAAATTGATGAAATTTAATTTTTATTTGAATAATTTACTTCCTCAAATTTAATCAATTGTCTAAAATAGCAATTTTCTTTATTATGTGATAGGGATTGAACTTCCGTAGTATGCAAAATTATTACAAGAAATTTCGAATGTCATTTAATTGCAACATAACAAGAATTTCACTTCACGTAAAACGTAATATATTTTATTAATATCTCACTGAATTCCAGACAATATCACGTTCTCGAGGTAACAAAGGAGGAAGTGGTGGTACGTCAAATTTCGATAAGTTAACGACAAATCGACGTTGGTCGATTCTTTCGAACACGTTCAGCTCACAACAACAACAGCAAACAGCAAGCAGTATACAAAGCATTACGGATATGAATTTATTTATTAATCGTAACACATTCCCTTCTTTTTCTATTTTAAATTAAATTTATGAAATCCACATATATCTTTAGTTTTCGATGAACTTTTATGCTCGTCACTTTTCATATTTTTCTTGACAATTCATGAATTATTTAATGATCACTTAAATCGAGCAATTGTAGCAATGAAAAGTTATAAAAATTAAAAAATTAATTTGAATGCTATCTAATGCTTTGTTTATAATTTCTAGAAAGTGATCGTCGAATTAGTTTATCAACAAATGAAGAAAATTCATCACGAAGTTCACATGAACATACCGAAGAAATTATACAACCAAGTGATAAAAAAGGTTTGCATATTTACGGTAATAAAATTCCTTAAAAATAAATTATCGCTTAAATTTAAAATATGCCGCTTGCATAAATTTAATTACTTGTCAAACTTTATTGTAAGCATATATTTAATCGATGATAATATAAATAATATAATTATTGATTGATTATATCGATAAGCAAAGAGATTAAATGATTTAAATCCAATTGAAATATTTCATCATCATCGTACAGCACAATGTATGAAATGAAATTTTCGATATAAAAATGACCCCCAATAGATGCTGATCCGAGTGATGACGGATTCACGCGTTACATCGATGGTAAACGTCTTATTTCGCTAAGCAATCAATATCTTGCATATAAAAAGAGATCAAGCTATGAACGAAAATCCGGGGAAAAATATCCACAAGTGAGACGCTCCCATACATTAACTGCTCCAACACATTCAATGGTCACCACTGCAATTGTCTCGAAATCAGGTTTTAAAAACAAAGCTTATCTCTCTCTCTCTCTCTCTTCTTTCTCTTCCTCTTTCTTTCTCTACTTCTTCTCTCTCTCTCTCTTTCTTCTCCTATAAATAAATTTTTATGCTATCATTTCGTTTTTTAATTTTAATTTTTCAAATTTTTTAGTTTAATTTACTTTAATTTTAATTTTAACAACTAATGAAAATTTTATTTATTTTTCAAAAAAATGCAAAATTATGTTAGTGGAAAGATATTTAATTATATATTAATAGTTAAGTTGGCTGACATTATATAGTAAATCGTCTCTTAACATATAATATTATATAGCATATAAATATAGCGTATAATATTATGACAAATAAAGTTAAATATTATATTAATCGATTTTAAATTAATTAATTAATTTTGCTAAATAATGGAATGAAAAAAAATAAATGACGAAGTTTTAATCATAGCACTACTAAAATCATTTCACTCGAATAATTTAATTATTTTAATTTATAAAACAAAACGCATAGAGGGGAAGAGAGAATTTCATCATGGGGGAATTTTTTGAATTTTTCAGCAAAACATAAAGATATATAACTTCCTTACGCTTGCACCTTAACAGATGTTTTAAAAAAGAATCCTATTCTTGAATCTTTCTCAGTAATCGCATCAGAGAATCCTACTTTTGAATCTTTCCCACTAATCACATTGAAGAATTCTGCTTCTTGTATCTTTTTTACTAATCGCATCGAAAAATTCTACTTTTGTATCTTTCTCACTAATCGCATCGAAGAATTTTACTTCTTGAATCTTTCTCAGTGATCACATCGGGGAATTCTGTTTCTTGAATCCTTGTTTCTCAGTAATCGTACAAAGAAATCTTATTGCTGAATTCCCTTCAACAAAGTTAGTAAAGGGGAGAAAAAGAAATCAAATCAATTTTAAATAGCAATTTATACCGTTCCTTCGCAACTTCAACAGATATGTATTAAATCCAGGAATATAATGATAAAGTATTATTTAAAAAGTTGATAATTATAATATCTATGCATGATTTTTCTCCATCATTTTACTTATGGGATACGTTTAATAAATTAATTATACTGCATGTCGATATATTTAAATAAACATTTTTCGTTTATTTTATTTCACTTTTTTCCTTTTGTGAAGAAGTTATTTATATCTTACGATATATTATCATGGAAAGTATATTCGTTTGTTGTCATTGATGTGAAATCATAATTATCCAACGGTTCATTTGAATTTGCGTGACTGCTAAACATACGTAAGTTATATCTATTATCAAGGCAAAAAATGCCTTGATAATAGATATAACTTACGTATCAGAAGTAGAAAATTTTGTTAGGATGAAAATATCATTTGCAATTAAAAATTATTCTTTCTTCTTCCTATTTTCAGCACGACGATTAGCACAGGGTCGTCAACGATTGTTCAAGTACGCTTCACCATCCACTGCAGCATCGCAACCGCTTGAATTAAATGAGAAAATTCATCGATCTACAAAGTATGATCCTTCCAACTTAAATGCCAAAATTTCAGTTATTTTATTCAAATTATTACAACACTGTCAATCTTTAGGAAGAATGATTTCATTTCATTTATTATTCCAATGATTTTAATTTCATTACTAAATTACCAATCTTTGCTTACTTCCAATTTTTGAAAATGGATTAACAACACTGAATTATTGATATACTGAAATATGAAATGAAAGTTGCTATTTACCATTAAATGATTGATTAATATCACTTACTGTGAAATAATTTAATTTATTGATTTCTTAAAAGAAAATGATTCATCAGTAAATTAACAATTTACGAATACAATAAATTTGCAAATTATAAATTATTTTGTGGATATCATCACATCGACTGCTTTATGCATTATTATTCATTAAAATTAAAATTCATTGTTGATTACAGCAGCATTGAATACTTCCCGATGTTATCATAAAAATTAATCTTATATTTTATTGATCTTTTACTTTTATAAAAAATAAGAAATTCTTTTGATGATTTTATTTTTAATTATACAAAATGATTTTGTTTGAAGAATATCAATTTTGCTATTTAAATTTTGAGATAGTCATGTATTATCGCTTTTGCAGAAATCTAAAATGTGTAAGAAACACGCAAGCTGATGATGAGAAAGATGGAATTGGTGAAATTAGTAAGTGCTTTATGCTATTATTTAATTTTAATTGGCTCTTTAAATTATTTGGCTTTTTTTAATTCACGGCAAAACAATAACAACGTGCAGTTTACTTCTTTGATTTAGAACTCTGAAAGCAAAGTTACAGCTCAATTTTTAACTTAATCCATTCTTCTGGGAAAAGGAACTTAATTTCTTACTCTTATAATTTTCATATATGTATTTTTAAGCAGTCGCCGAAACGAATTATTTTATATGGCTATTTGTTCTTGCCTCCGTTGAAACTTTATTAAATTTTAAAATTCCAATTTTCTACTATTTACAACATCGCTCTTTATTTAAAGTAAATTTGAAATACGAATAATTCAGGAAAGAAATTTAGGATTGAAGCAATATAATTCTCATAATATCACATTTTCAGTCGTCTTTTGAAGTTTTAAAAAAGTATGGATTATTTTAGCGTAAATTTTATTTGAAAAACATTAATTACAATTAGTGCATGTCAGCTTTTCTAACATAATTTGGAAGTGAGTAAATGAAAGTGATAAGTGATTGTCCGGAAAGTCGAAATGAAACCTGATTCGATTTAATGTTTTATTTCCACTACATTTTAATCACTTCATTGGTCATATCTATGATTGATTATTATAGTACTTATAAATTACAATTATCTTCTTACTTTTCACTTTGTCAGTATGTTTGTCACGATTTCTCGAATATAATAGGAATTGATAAGCTATGGAGAAAATAATCTTGAAGTTCCTTGATGTATGAAATGAAGTTGAAGAGCAGAAGATAAGAAAGGAAGCATTTTAGATATGAGAAAATCATAGATCATTTACCATTGATTTGTTAAAGTGAATATTCAAAAATTGTCATTATTTGATTATGAAATTTTAGCTCTGTCGACAACTGTACTGCCAACAATTGGTGGAGGATGGGTAGAAGGAGTACGAGATGGCTTGAAACAATCAAATGAACCAGTAATATCAGCGGAAAATGGATCAAAGATAAGCATGATAGCCCCAGTACCGTCATCAACACAGGAAAGCATCTCGCGATCTACCGTATCATGCTATCAGCCACTGCAAACAAATTTTGATGAAGGCGAAGAACTGATGATGATTAAGAATTTCCCTTGGTTGAAGGTTAAAGTTTCCTTAATTTAACCTTCATAATCTTAAGCTGAAATAAAATAATCTAATTAATAATAGTAGAGTTTAATTTCATATTTGTTAAAAAAGCAATGCACTGATGAAATTAAATTAAGTTAATACTAAAGTATTGGCAGTGATAATATTAGGGTATAAAATCTTTCATAACTCATATCGTTGAGTGTAAAGGAAAGATTTCTCAGCTATATTTGACTATTTGATAGCTACGTTAGTAACTTATCACGTGGCACACCTTATTCATAGAATGAAGATTACAGATAGTAATTAAAATGGCAAATTCATTTACATTATCATGTAATCACGAACATTTCTGTCATCCATGGTGTTTTGAAAGAGTCCATCGACAATGTTATCGTTTAACAGAAGCACTTCGAAAAGTATATGGCGAAGAATTACCAATTCTCGGACATTTCGATAAGCGTAAAGCAATGACCGATGCATGGATCAATCGTCATGAAAATGTGAAAAAAGTGTGAAACGTTTATTGTTAGCTAAAATGATTACATATTCTATGCTAAAATGACTTAATGCACTATTACTTTTGAGATATATCAAATTAACTTTATAGAAATTTACTCAATATATGATAAGATATTAAATGATCTATAAGACGAGTTTTAGTCTAATTTTGGTACTGTTCAAGCAAATTACTATACAGTTAGCTTATTACTTTAAGAAATCAGTAAAATTAGACTAGTTTCGATTATGAATAAAATAAATTTCGTTACAATAGTTAAAATAATCCTTTAACTATCATTATTATCATCGTAATTATAAGCAACTAGGCAGATATTTATCACTCCAACGTTACAGACAACACAACGGTTTTCCGGATTACTCGTAGCTCGTCGAGAAAATGTTGTTACCCGACAAGGTGCAATGGGTGGTAAGCCAACAATGGCATTACAAAGTTTACTTATTGAAAAGCTTGCTGAAATGGAAGAAAATAGAGAAGGACGAATGGGAAAGAATAATTTTCAAGTATTTTTTCCTTTTATTTTCTTTTCATTACGAATATATTTGAGAATATTTGGCATTAATAAATCATATATATCTTTTTCTCTCTCTTTCACTTTCTTTCTTTCATTCTATCTTTCTCACTTTCTTATCTTTCAAAAGAAAAACGTTGAAAATAGGGAAAAACGTTGAAACGTTGAAAAAAAAAATGAAAATACGGCGAAAATAGGAAATATGAGATTTATAGATTAATTTAATTTGTTCTTTAATATATAACTTTTCAATTTAATATCACAAATTTGCTATACATTGATATGTTTCCGATGATTTAATATTGAAATTTTATAGAATTTGAATTATTTCACCTAAATTAATTAATGAAAATAGTGAAATTTTGAGGATTCGGATGATCTGATCGAAATAAGTCAGGCTCAAAGACATCGATCGCCTTCTCCAATGTTATTTTATATTGCCACCCAGATGTTATGCATAACTCATTCACCTTTTTCAACTCTTCTTAAGAGTTGTCTTGTATTACGTAATGAACATTATCGAGAAATAATAGATATCTGTTGGCATTTACTCATACATCGTGACAAACATCTTGTTACTTCAGCTGGTTCGATTTCCTTTTCGTATTTTTCAATTTTTGATACAATACTTTTTTTAATCTTAAAATTTTCAAATTCTTAAAACAATTTTTTAATATTAAAACTTCAACTTTGACAAATTATAATATTTTTAATTAGAATTTAAGCACTGTTATTTTGTGTCTATTTTGAATTGTTGAAATTCCATTTCAGCATCTCTTTTCATCATATCATCGGTACGCAATCCAGAGGGAACTGTCAATGTGATAAGGAATAGTTTGCTAAGTGACGATCCAAACATACGTACAGAAGGATTACGACGTTTTCATGCTTTGTGGCGGAATCGTTTTCATGTTTGGTTGAAAATGGAAGATGGAGCGCAACTCGTCTTTAAAGTCTATTAAAACTTTAAAATTTCATTTCCTTCTTTCAAATGTTTCCAGTTTCTTATTATATCTCAATGATATATTTACCACAAATTCGCTTATATTTTTGAAAACTTTTACAACTTCTAGGTTCCACCGCCTGGCATTGATTTTACATTACCATCTCCTCCTGTTGGCCAAAGCCATATACCAATCATTGATCCACCATGGATGCCTCATATTAAAACTAAAGTTGAGGAGCTATGCCTGAAAGAAGAGGAACAAGCAACGGTATGTAATAATAACTGATTATTCGATTATAACTCTCATTTAATTCTTCAAGATCTTTTCTCCTTTTTTATTTCATTATTAAACAAAACAGAAGTAATTCATTCTATTTATCATTTGTCTTAATTTTGAATATAAAGAAAAAAATAGCGATGAAAAGAAAATTAAAATTTGAGAGTCAAATAATAATGACGATGACACGGACACGTCGAAAACAGAAGCAAGAAATGGTACGTCAGGTGATACATGAAACAAATGAGCGAGAATGTTCTTTGCGTCAGAAATTTCCATTTCGTGCCACAGCTATTGTGCAGCAAGCAGCTTACGAGCCAGCTTTATTTTATCATCAAACACAGCAAATTATGGCTGATAGTACTGGAGAAGGCCTGTCCTTTCATTTCATCTTTTTTATTGTTTTAAAAAAGAAATAGAAAAATATAAAACTTAAAATGAAATTAAAAAAATTAAACTATTCGAGAAGAATTTTGTCAATTAAATTGTGCAAAATTTTTATCGAAAAATTTCCTACTTCTGATTTATTCTTAACATTGCATTTATAAATTTCTATTTTCTTTCTTTTATTTTTAATTTTCTTAGTTTAAAATTTGAGTAATATGTTTCAGAATGTGATGGCTATCCAACCTCTTCACGACAACAAATGCCAGTTGCACAACCACTTCTTCCATCATCGCTACTTTCAGTTGTACCAACGATCATTGAAATGCTGGATGATGTACAGTTAGATAGTTCCGGAAAATCCGGTAATTTCTTCTTTTGTAGCTTAATTTAGATTCCATAATTTTTATCAGAGAAATGATGAACAATTATAAGAAATCAGAGAGTAAGTTACAGAAACTGATTCAAGTCATATTCAAATTCAAATTTTTGCAGCCACTTTTCTCATTCTAAAATTTTAATATAATTTCAGTGAGTGATATCGCGAAGAAGATTATTTGGTCATGTATCGTCGAAGATCCAGCCTTGTTTTTGCGTCACTTTTTAGAAAAATTAACCAATCGTAAACGTCAGGCAAACTTATTATCTCATTTTATTTTTATAATACTATTTAAATAAAAAATAATTTGCATATTTATCTTTTAGCTGTGGCACTTTTTTTTCGATTTATTTTTGTTTAGGTAATTGTTTATTATTGTTAAAATGAAAGAGATGCGAAGAATAACAGAGAGAAAAATATTTTTAATATTTGATTTAAATATCCCGCGACTAAGATTATTTGATCGTGTATCATAGAAGATCCAGCCTAGCAAAGGGAGTAGCACGAAAGACATTAGTCTCTCATTAGTCATTCATTAGATCATTAGATCATTAATCATTCTCATAACTATCTTAATGGAGGATCAAGTTTCTGAAAAGGATTTATATTTTTAGAGAAGGAAAGTATTATTGACAACTTTTTTATCTAATCGTATAGTTAAGATTTTATAGACTGCATTTTAGTTCGAACTTATAGGAAAAATTTTTATTGTCTAAGCAAGCACATGAGGTATTTTTTACGTTTTAATCTTTTATCTAATCTTAACATATCACNTTTAATCTTTTATCTAATCTTAACATATCACATATCTATGTGATACGGCTGAATTTATCAAAATGTTTAGTTCAGAAAATGTTACATTTTATACGATTGTTCATTGGATGAACAATATTTTATTGCATCAAATTACTGCACGAACTATTCGTCTCCATATTTGTATATTAAAATATTGTCAACAAATTTTGACATTTAGAGGCTTTTTCAATAATTTATTTTGTTGCATAGTTTACTGTATGTGAATCGAATATGCTTGTGCTTTTGACGATAGTAAAGTATTTTAAAAGAAATTTATATGATTTCAAATTTCATCAAAAGTTAAATTAATACAATTAAGATATAATAATACAACTAGATATAATAATATATCTCAGGTTGAAGAAAGGAAATAATGGAAGGGCGTGATGAGGTATATAATTGAGATTTTTTAATCCATAAATTTAAAATGACAGGCAAGAAAAATATCATTGATGACTCCATCGAAATATTTTAATTATTATTTAACTATTCTAATATTTTATTACATTCCTTAAATATTTGGTGCAAATGTTTTATTATAAAGATGCATGTTGTTTTTTGATATTGTAATGATATCAGCAGATGATAATACAAACAATGCAAAGGTTACTTTTCAGGAGCATTTAATATTACTTTTACGAAAATTGATATTACGTTTTCAACCTTTGCCATGTCAAACAGCTTATACATTAATGAATTATTTCGTAAGTTTTATCAATTTGTATTCAATTATAATAACACATTAAATTATGAAGCAATATTTCGATTTTAATTTTAAAGATTCTTTCTCTTCAATATAAATTATATTACTTTAAATAGTTCTTGAAGCTTAACTATGTCAAATATTAGTTGAAATAATTGTACATATAGTTATTTTTGGTTATTTCATTTTGTTTTAAAAAATATTTTATTTACAGTTCGGTTTTGTAATGCATTATGTACGAAGTCCGTGTGATGGAAGTGATCAAGCAATTGCAATGGTTTTAAGTGTAATATGGCTTATTATCCCAAGCGTGCATGGATTATATTTTAAAGATTTGAAGCAAACATTAAAGAAGGAACAATGTGATGTAAATTATATTCAAATTCCATTTCAGAAATTCAAATTGATACATTTAATATTATTATTAATGAATGAATGAATGAATGAATATTATAAAAAATTAATTATCATGCAAATTTTACAAAACAATAGGATTAATAAGAATAAATAAGTATATGGAATAAATCTTTTGATATTTCAGCAAGCGTTGATGATCACGGCGAATGTTCCATCAGCAAAGAAAATTATCATTCATGGACCTGATAGCGGTTCCGGTGGAATTCCATCACAATTTCCGATCCATGAAGAAACTCAATTTCAGCAATTACTTAAGGATAGCCTCGAATTCTTTAATATTCCTGAAAGCGATAATCAACATTATTTTCTCATTGATACTAAAACAAATCTAGTTCATAATCCTTCGTCATATGTTAGGTAAGTTGAACGGTGATCTACTAATATTTCCAGCAGCGTGGATGCAATTTTTGCAATTCCAATAATACTTGTATAATAATAATAATGGTAGTAAGTGGATTTTTACAGAATGCAAGTCCTAACAGATAATGGATAAATAGTACAGTTATTATCCATACCTTTAATTAGTTCCCGTATTTTATCAGTTCTTAAATACTCCAATATTGTCAGCAATACCGGAAAAGGAATGAAGTGAAATGCTCGAGAGATAAGAGTGAACATTATTTCATCATTGTAAAATATCAATATTGTTTTGATTTATTATTATCTGATTAATTTTATCTGTTGTTTAGAGATTTCTATTTTTTCCATCGTTCGCTGTATCCGCAATTGACGTTGGTTAAGTTGAATCCTGACGAAGCGCATCTTCGAATGCGTCAAAAAGCGTTTACACATAAACTTATAGAAATTGGAAAAATATTATTAACACATAATGCTCTTTCCCATACTCCTGAAAATGTGGTAAATGGATAATATCTTCTTTTATTGCATTCCTTCTTTTTTTTTACAAAATCCAATAATTTTATTAAATTTTTCGAATTTTTAAGAAATTTTGGAATAAGAAAAATTTGATTAATAAAATTTATAAATCATATCAAATAGGACAGGGAATAGAATTAATTAAAGTACCATATTTTCAGATACCACAACGAATATTTTTCCTACACAGTGAATTTACGCATTTACCATCTTTTCCACGGAAAAGTTTGGAAACGTGTTTTGGCATGTATAATGGCCCATCAGGCCGTGAATTATATTCCATTGATAGTATGCATAAATTTGTGTGGACTTTGGTAAACTTTTACCTTTCGTTTTCCTTTTAAAAAATTCTTCTAACTTCGAATGAAGCATCAACAAAAATAGTTTTGTCGTAAAATACAAAGTTCTGGAAATTTTTTGGAAATTCAAAGGATCCTGAAAATTCAAACATTTTATGAGTACCATTTGCAAATTATAAGATGGCATTTATCTGGAAAAGATCAATATTTCAAGTTCTAAATTTTAATTTTATGATTTCATAAAATTTATGATTAGGATTTGAAAATTAATGACCTAAAAATTTTCAAAATATTTTGAAATAAAGTTCACTTTTAAGCTAATGTCTGATATGTTCACAAAGATGGAAAATGCTTTTATGTTCGGTGATTTGCATCTGTTTATTAATGTTATTAATGGTGTTACCTTATTACATTGTGAAAATGTTACAATTTTACGCCGTTGTATGGCCATATACCTATCTGTGGCTATACATTTCAGTACTCTCTTTGCTAATCAGGTAAATTTTCAATAATTAAAAAGAAATTCTCTCCTCAAAAAGCAATAAATTAGTTCGCCTGAATTATATACTTCAATGAATACTATCTTTCCATCTTCTTCCTTTCCCTTCTTTTTTTCAACTTACATAGCAAGCAAGAATTGTAAAATCTAATTCAAGAATGCTTATGAATTTGGAATAATTTCAGTAACATTAAGAGAGAGAGAGAAAGATAAAAAGAAAGAGGGAGAGAAGAGAAAATGATGATCAAATAATTCCAGAAATATTCCATCAACATTGTTTGCTTATAAACATAATAATTTCATTTCTTTTAATCAAAATTTATTTTAATTTTTCATCCACTATATTTTTCTTTTTCCATTTTCTTTCAGGGCTTTTTCCTCATAATGCCAACAATACTACGTTGTTACAGTCAACGGCAAACTAATCCACTACTTTGTCGTACAATTGAATATGTTTGCAAACAATTTTACATCCTTCATCGGAAGCCTTTCTTATTGCAAATGGCTGGTGCAGTAGCAAATATTCTCGATACTACCTCTAACAATTTTGAAGTAAATCCAATGAAGGTATTTTCATATCTTTTCTCTATTCATTAATTTATATGAAAAGTTTCTTCTTGTTTTTTGGAATTCATTTAAAAATATATTTATAGGTAAAGGCAAAATATTGGTTTAATTTATTGCACAGTATGGAAGATATGAATGATTTGGAAGATCCAATTAATATATTAGATTTAGTCAATGAAACGAAACCATTAAAAGTTAGTTGATTGTTAAATTTTTAAAGTCTTAACTTCATAAAACTTCTTCCTTATCTAAAACATCACTTTATAAGTAAAATTTTAATAATCCTTCTTTCTTCACTAAATAATATTTTGTGGATGGTTTGAAATAAATATTATCCATCCATCTGTTGCATAATCCGTTACTTTTGTTTATATCATAAAATTATCAGTCTGAAATTTTTAAATTTTTTGAGGTTAAAGAATATGCGTGTCAGCTTTTGGAATACTTATTTCATATTTAATTTTTCATTAACTGTTTTTATATCATCGAGTTGTAATCAAAAATATGCACATTACTTTTCTTTTACTGAAAAAAATTACTGATCTTTATCATAGATGAAGAATAATTAAATAAATGAAGTAACTCTTTCCAATAAATGATTGTAATAATAAAATTATTCGTAATGTTATATTTTGATAACAGAAGTAATCTATCAAATGTAATGTAAATTTTACATAGTTTATTTGAGATGATCGTAATGATCAATTTAAATGATAGTATTTTGATTGTTGCAATCAATTTTTAGAAATATTTTATTTAATAACATTTTCGCTCATTTTAGGCATTAGATTTATGTTACCGTGACGATCCTAATACGTTTAGCTTATTAACGGATGCGCTTGCAAGCGCTGTAACAGTATGCGCTTTTGCGCCTGAATCACGACGTTGTTATCAGATGTTGGTAATGTTTACTTTCATGTTCTTCCCTAATATTATTCATAATTGCAACTTATTATCGTATATTATTTTACAACAAGATAAAAAACACGTGGAGAAATTGTGTTTTTTATTTACAATTAAGCAAAAAAGTTTATTAATGAATAAGTTTCATTTAAACTTTTTTAAATTATATATTAATTTATATTATGTCATATATCTTAATGAAATTATGCTAACTCGCTATTTCATTATAGTTAGTAATGCAAGCAACGATACCGTACTTCTTGGAACAAATAGAACAGGATACGGTGAAACAGGGTAACACTATCGTAGCTGTAAAACATGAAATATCTATCTATACAACACTTTGCGTTGAAATGAAAGCATTAGTGAATTGCTGTGATATTCTTGCCAGGTACATTTTGCTGATTTCTTGCAAGAATAATTTAGATAGGAATAGAAAGTGATGTATTTATGAAATGAAATAATATTCCTACTTGATAATTTTTGATAAATATTCAAAACTAATCAATAGCTATTTTAGAGGACCGACGCGAACATTCGATATTGTCAATAGTGTCAGTGATCGAGGAAAATCTTTCATTGCTGATTCGCCTCAATTCTTTGATCCACCAACTTTGATCGAAGATGAAACAAAAATGCATTACTCGTAAATTTCTTTTTTTCCAGCTAAATCACTGAAAATGATCAAAATAAATTTTCAGACAGAAGATTCGAAATTTTTTTCAAATAAGTATAATTCAAATGCATTTAACTTAAATATATAACATTTCGAAAACAACCATCATTTTCCTGAAATTATCATCGCTAACCGATATTTTGATTAAAAGTTGAGTTAAATTGGATGTGATAATTGATAAATGCTAAGTTTTGATAATTTCAACTACAAAAATTTTTAGCAAAAAAAAAGGAAAACTTCCAATAAATTTCGGTAAAGAAAATTTCAAAGGATAACTAAAGTTTTTAATTTATATTTCTGAAGAATTTTTCACATTTTTTATATCAATCTAAAAAATCAAAACAATAATGTTGCAGAAGTATGAAGGATAAGAAAAATGCTATTGGATCGGATGCTATGGATAATTCTGAAGGGCAACGTGAAATATTTCGTCGTCCACGTGATGCTCTCCTCGTCTTAGCAGCTACATTCATCGAGAAAGCAAGGCCACGATTGAAGGAGCTTACTAAATTGGCATCAAATATCGAACATATCAAAATTCCAGAATTATTCGATCATAAATGCTATGCGGTGAGTAAATCAAAATATGAAAGTTTCGGGAGAATCATTCGAGATTCTTATTCAAAGTTTTTAATTAAATTATTTATCATACATTTCCATAGCTCATTCTGAAAAATGTTATCTCCACGAAGATAATGTAGAAAATTAATGAGGACTTATCTGATTAAATTTGCAAGAAAAAAATACAAAAATCAAAAAGATATTTCTTCAGAAATGTAAAAAATTTTATTTCAAATCAAAATTATTCTTTTGTTCTTTCTTAAATAAAATTTCAATAATTCAAAAGATTGAAAATTTAACAAAACTAAAAAGCTTTGCAAATTTGAATGCAATTATCTTTCAGAAATTAAATGAGATAGCTCTTGCATTGTTGAAAATTGCACCATACGATCTAAGCACAATATCTTGTATTGGATTACAAAAGTAATTATTATTTATTCCAATTAATTATTTTAATTTCTTTTATCTTTCCTTTTTTTTCGCTCTTTTCTTTTTAATTTTTTTACATAAAATTCATAGAGTTTTGTGCCATAAAATCTCTTTTTATTTAAATAGCAATTTTAAACTTTAACAGATACTTCTCTGTGATTCTGCTAATAACTGATTGGTCGGTTGAGAGTAATCGATCGACGTTAAATTTTGTTTTGCGACGTTTGGATAAAACAATTCAAAAAATTGGCAAAAAAATCGTCTTCCGACGTCGAACAAATTGGATTGCATTGACAAATTGGCTTAATGGTTTACATCAAACGCTTGTTGCTTATCCTTATATTGCTCATTCACATCCCTTAAAGGTATCCTTTTATTTTATTGTTTTAATTAAAATAGGAAAAAAAATCCTTTTCAATTAGATTTTTATTCAACAATGAATTTTAAATTATATTTTAAAAATGATTAGAAACAAATAAACATTTGAACATTTAATTTAATACAACCTATTCCCTTCATCCCTTTTATCATTTTCAGTCAACAACATTGATGTGTTTACGAATAATGATCGGTGATCCACTAAATGATGATCTTTTCACTCAATCCAGTACTGCTTTTTCTACCGTATTACATGGTAGTTGTCCACCACAACCATTTTGCAATAGTGTTCTTAAACTTACCTCTTTTATGATGCAAGCACTTGGTCAGGTATATCATTTATACATGTTAATTTTTAGTTCATAATAATTTAATTTTATCTTTGTTTTTTTTTTTTAATTATAATTTTTGCTAAGTTGTAATTTATTTAGGAAATATTTTCATTGGAATATTTATGTAGTAGCGAAGGAATTGGATCTACAGCTGAACGTTTAGAAGTTGTACTATGTCATATCTTAATTCCACTATTTCTTCGAGCTGCAACTGTCAAAAATGGTTTCCTTTCATTTATTACTATGATTTTCAAATTTCGCTTTAATATTTTTCAAAGTAGATTTTATATTCAATATATTTATTATTCGATTACATTATAAAAATGCTGCCAGTCATTTAGATGAATGGGTTTAACTAAAATTTCGAATTGAACAGCATAAATTGAATAG